TAGGGATTTTTGGAGGAAATTTAGCATGCGAAGGAGGGGTTGGAGGTTGATTTTTTGGTTCATTAATTACTTTTGGGAGGAATTTCTACTTGGTTTTGGAGTAGATTATTTTCTTCCCTCTGACTTATTTCATTATCTGCCCTTCTTAATCTCTCCGCCACCTCTAACACTTCTTTAGGAATTGGAATCTCTTCTTTCGCTGCATGACCCTGAGATTTATAGCGAGGTATAAGATGAATTTGTAATTCAGAATTATCTGACCGAGACAAGCCGCCAATCTTACCCAAGAATAAACAAGCCCGCAAACTACTAGGATTTAAACTTTGTTCAACTCTTTTAATACTTTCTCGCAATAACTCACCCATTTGTTTTCAACTTTCCTCACTTACCTGATTTAGGTCATTATCAGACTCTTTACTACTAATAACTACATGACCATAATCGGAAGCCTGCTCCCGATCAATTAACTTAGCCAAAGCCTGCTTATTTTCAGCAATTACTCCTTGCTTAGTTTGTAAAGACTTTTCTATCTCTTGATACTTCTCCACTGAAGGAATAAATCATGGCTTCCTTAAATAACCCACTCCCCGATTACCTTCTCTTTCAGGGACTACATGCAGATGAAAATGAAATACTGCTTGCCGAGCTCCTCCTTCTGCTCCGGCATTACTATAAATATTAAAACCTAAGGGGTGAAAGAGATTGGTTAATTTATTAGTAGTGCTTTTTAAGATAGGAAGTAAATTATCTCATTCTTGGGGAGTTAGTTCAGTAATGTTAGTTCGGGGTTCCTTGGTGATTATTAGCACATGACCCTCCGAGTCAGGAGAGATATTAGCTAAGGAGAGATAACTCTCATTTTCTGCAATAAAAAAGGAGGGTTTTTCAGTGACTCATTGGCAGAAGGGGCAGTTTTGATGATGTTGGTTTTTTCTCATAATAATTGGAATTTCTGGTGCCTTTAATGGTCTGCATAACATTTCTTTAAAATTTTGGAGGCATCGTCATAAACAAGGTTTTTCTCTAACTGGTAACTGATTATTACTTGCTTCCGCTGGTTTAATTGGTTCGCTTTCTTTATTAATTGTTCCCGAACCTTCTTCTTCACTAACTCCATAATAAAATCCTTGGCGATATTTTCTTATTTCCTCCTCTAATTTTATCAGGGCTTGAACAATATCACCTAATTGGCTACCGCCTCCTTCGGGTCTTTCTTTACTAAAATCTTGGGCTAATTCTTGTCGGGCTTCTAAGGAAGTTAATTCGGCAAGATCAATTACTCCATTTCTTTCTCCACTAGTTCCAGGTTTATCGTAGGCATCCAAAAAGTCGTTAACTCTATTATTTAAAATTTCCAATGCCTCACTAACTTTGTCCAGTTTATGATCTTTGGTTAGTTTTAATATTCCGACTAATTCGTGGTAGTTATTTAACAGATTTTCCGTATCACTCATAAATTCTTCTCACTTCTTTTGCTTAGCATCATAAAACTCACTTTTTATCTGGGAAGCCCCAGCTCCCACTAAGGGAGCTACTAAAGTAATAACTCCTCCGGTAGTGGCGTAATCTAGTAAGGTCAAGGCACCTCCAACTACGGTAGTGACTGTGGAAGATAACTCTACAGCACTTAGATAGCCAAATTTGCTGAATTGTTCTGGAGATTGTAAAGTGTCTAATTCTACTATTTTGCTGGCTGGCAGTTGTGATTCTCTGCCTGGATTGAGAAATTTCTTTTTGGTTTGGTCGAATCAGCCAGGTTCAGTTTCTTTACCTCATTTATTAACAAATTTTTTGATGTTGCTTCTAATAACATAAAGCCTTTCATTAGGGATAGATAAAACAATGTTATTTTTTAATTCTTCTCGTCAATTGGCCAGATTATAATATTTCTCCCTTTTATAGTATTCTTTTTCTTCATTTTTTTCTATAAAATATTTAGCCAAAATATTTGTAATCTTTGCTGACCTTTTTTTTGCATCAGGATCACAATATAACCCTCGGCAATTATCTGGTAAATATTCTAATCCTGAATCGATGTCAGTGCGACTAATGTCAATCAATCTTAATTCTTTCATCTTTTCTAAGGGTTTTAAACTGCCAATGAATTCATTATCACTAAGGTCTAATTTGTGCAAGTTGGTAAAAAGAGTTAAAAAATCTAATGTTTGAGGAGTTAAATTCTTATTTTTTTCTATAATTAACACTTCTAATTTTCCTTTATCAGGTATGGTTTGTAAAAATTTAGTGTTAGTAAATTCATTATTAGAACAATTAAGTTCCAGCAAATTTGGACAATCACTTAAATCTAAATCAGTTAATTGATTATCAGAACAAATTAATTTCTTTAAACCCCTAAAACCACCCAAATCTAATTTCCCGACCACATTCTTATCATTCATAATTATTTCTGAATAATACTGCCGATTAGTATGAGGAGGATAATTTTCATCTAATCAGGTTTGGGCCTCTTGCTGAATAATTTGTTTCTTGAATTCTACTTCGCCTAATAAGTGACGGGCTTGGCGTCAAGGGGCTAGACGATATCAGTTATTAGCAAAGGCCGGTTCATCCTCTTCCTCTTGTTGGAGTTTTTCTACTATGTTAGGTGACTTGGCGGATCTTTCTATTTCCCCACGTAGTTTGAGATAACCAGCATCTTTTCGGTCTCAACTGTTGATGAGGCAAATTTTTTTGAATCCTACGGGTAAATATTCAAGACCAGAACCTAGATTAGTGTTCGCGATGTTTAACCATTTTAGGTTGGTTAGGTTTTGGAGGGGTTGGAGAGAACCGGTGAAGCGATTGTAAATGTTTTGGTGAAGTTTTTCTTGACTGTGATTATCGATGAATAATTTTTCTAAGTTGCTGAATTTGCTTAAAAAAGATAAGTCTTGCTCTTGAAAGTTATTGCTGTGAATACTTAAATGAGTTAGTTTTTCGGAGTTTAGATTGTTGTGAAATTCAGTGCTGGTGAGGAGGTTGTTGGCAGAGTTGAATTCGGTGATGTTTGGACAATTATCGATGATTATATAATTGAGTTGGCAATTGTTAGCATGAAAATAATTTAATTTTGGTAAATTGATGAGTTCCAGGCTGGTAAGATTATTGTTGCCGCATTTAATGGTTTCTAGGTTGGGGAAGTCTTGGATGGTTAAGGATCCAGTGAGATTTTGGTTGCTGAGATCTATTTTTTTTGTTAATTCTTTTTCTTGTTTAGTATAAGTAATGTCTAATAATTCTTGTGCATTTACCATAAACAATTTAATTTTTATTATTATCAAGCGGTTTTTACCTACAATAATCAAGCAGGACTAAAAATCCTTACAAAGATTTTACCGTAAGGGGAGAGTGATCTCCCCCAACTTTTTATTTTTAATTAATTATTATCTTTGGGATGGATTTGGATTTGAGCCTGAAATGCTTCTTCTGTACTTCTATAATTTTCTTCTCTTCCATCAAAGACAATTATTTTATTATCCATTTCCATTCCTTGTATTGCCACTTTGCTTTCTCTATCTAATTCTACCAAGCCTATTCGCTTGCAATTACTTTCACCCGAAACCAATGTAGCAAATGGTACATCACTTTTTGTTATTCCATTAGGCATTATTAAATAGTTACCTTTATTTACGTTTCTGAGTGTTTCTTTGGTTCCTCAAATCTTAATTTTTTTAATGTCATCATTCCCCTTTATAATAATTGTTCCTGAATAAGTTCCTCCCAATATAGATTTTCCACCAATTCCCATTATGTCTTCAGTTTTGCTGTCTATGTAATATCTTTTGGAATGCAATGCAAGTGCACTAGTATCATCAAAATATATGCTTGTTGGCTCACACTCGATATTTACTCCTCCTCATACTTCGACTGAACCATTTTTTCCTTCTTTATCATTTTCATCCATTTTTACTTTAGGCAATCAACTTTTGCCAGCATCTTTACTACTTGGTCCATACCAAGCAAGCGGTTCACAACATCCTGAGTTCACTGCCGCCTTCATGACCTCAATCAAGGCTTCTTCGGCATCCTCCTTGCTATAATCAGCTCATGTTTTACATTTTTCTTCATGTCTGCATTCCTTTGCTTCAATTCCTTCCTCACACTTAGAGCACCCTCTTGGTTTATATTTAGGCTCCACCTTATTACCATAAGGCAATAAACCTAGTATTGAATATATTCCATCGAGAGGAACCCCTCGCCGACGTTCTTTTATTCCTCTTAAAGCTTCGTGCAAGCGGAAAGTTAATCTATCGTCATGACTATATCTGTCCTTATAACGAACCCAACCAATTGGAGTAGCGATTTTTTCTGCTTCTTTCTCGAATTTATGCTGATCGGCATACTTTCCTTCGGCATCAGCTGATTGATTTAGAGCTCAAACTTTAGCTAAGAAAGCACCATCGATTAACATGTCATCAAACATAAAAATTGTTTGTTTAGACAATCATCCTTCTTGAAAGGTTCAAGAACGAGTGAATCAGTCTGAATCAACTATTTCTTCTAATACTTTTAAGGAATCGCGATCTCATCCTTCTTCTGAATTTCCTTTCTGGAGACTTTTATTTATGGAAATCAATGTCACTGTGCTATTATTGTAATTCCGATACATATTGCGAACCTCCTCAGCCTTTTCTTCAAGATCACTTTGATTAATACATAATTTATCCATTCACAAGTAATCAATTTCTAGAGTTCTACAAGCTTCAATGGCTTTATTTAAAGCTTTGGTACTGCTGGGACTCAATAGAAATTTCTGGCCATCATTTATTTCTCATTCTTCATGTCCTTCCATTCAGTCATTGCAAACATAAGATAGTGTAGCATAACGAGGGCATTTATTAGATTTACCAATTTCTTCAAACTTTATTACTTTTTTATCCTTTCTGTCATAAAGTTTCTTTGGAAGACCGGCTGGTTTAGATGCACTTCTAATCTCATTTTTTACCAAAAAATCATTTGGATAGACATTCCTATAATTTCCATTTCATGATTTTTCGTATAATTCTTTCTCTTTGTTTAACTCTCTATCTCTTAAACTCAGCAAAACAATATTTGGTATATCTGATGCTTTTTTTATTTTTCCAATATATTTAATTTTTTGTTCTTCGATTTTCTCTAACATTTCCTTGATTGAACTAAGCCCTTCTCCTTCAACAATAATGTCCACATCAATTCTATCTTCAGCTCATTCTCCTAATTCAATTTCGGCACCTTCCTTATAAGTAACACTTACCAAATTATACTCATCAATTATTGATTGTAAAAATTCGAAAGCACCTTGGCTTCTGAAAACTTTTAAGTCTTGCCTTCCATCATACTCATCCAGTATTTTCTTGCTCTCGTAAATAATATTTGCTATGGTGTATCACGTGCTAGCAATGTGATAATCTGTGTACAAGTTTTTTATCTTTGTATCGATTGGTATTCCTGCAGTAAGTGCACTAACAAATTTGTAATCGCTATACCTTTTAAGACTTAACTCATCATCTGTATATTTTTTAAATCCATCTAGAGCTTCTTGGCTAGCAAATTTTCAGTGGGCACTTTCTATTAACAAATTACTTGATTTAATTTTATCTATTAGATTATTTTTGATTTCATATGCTTCATCGCTTTCTCCTCCCCAATAGTGATTAATTATAATCTTGTCTCAGTTAGCAGGATTTATGTTTTTTATTGATTTACGATAAAAACAATCTTGTTTTTTTACTATAACTTTTTGTTTTCTTATGTTATCAGTAATTAAACCATTCATTTTTTTTATATTTAGTGTATCTACCATATTTTTGATATTTATTTATCTTTTGTAATTTTTAAATTTGTTATTTTTCCAATCGCTACCTAGCAATTAAGCCAAAATATAGCAAATTAGGTAGCAATTGATTTTTATAATTATGCTAATTTGCTATCTCATATCTCTTCGACCATAGGCAACTATTCATTTTTCCTTATTACTTAGTTCGCGTACATATACAGATAAACATCGGCCAAAGTAATTCTTACTTTTTCACTTCTTTATCTATATTATAATTTTATACATATTTTTAAAACCAAGAAACTAAATTTTGGTTAAATATACCCCTGCCTCGGCCTCAAATATTTCAAACTTTTCAATCAATAACTATTGTAACTATCCAAATATTTCTT